ATGTATGAACCAATTGTCTTAAAACATTTTCAACCCGATGGTTTAAATGTTGTACAAGGGTTACTACTCCCTCTGCTACGCTTCAGCGCGTTGATAATTTTGTTTCGGGAAAACATTTCGCTACGCTGTAAATTTTTTAGATTGGTCAAAAAACTGACAGGTGAATTCATGCGTGTAAATGAACTTTATTTTCTGATTGAATACAAAATTCTCTCATTCAAAAGAAAAACAAAGATGCTGTTTGTTGGCTGACGTCATGAGCGTGCACAGTAGGAATATAAAGCACGCTCACGCAATTGAATTTGATTAGACAAAGTTACTACCTATTTCATAAAAGGTCATGATGTATCATAGAAATGTTCTTTGTTTCTCACTTTACTGTTCTACAATAGGCAATTAGTGCAATATTACATTTTACTTTTCCCTCACTTGCAGCTGTAGCTCCTCCTGAAATTTTGGCGCAAGGACATTCCGCAAGACTGGTTTATGAAGAGGCCCTTAGAGATGGATTTGTGAATGTTTATCGCGGTCGCATAGTCTTGGTTGGCCAGGATCGTGCTGGTAAAACAAGTTTAAAGAAGACTCTCTTAGGTCTGCCATTTGACTTCAAGGAGCAGAGCACGGACGGGATCGAAATAGAGCCATCAAAGTTCGAAATTGAAGTTGAGCAAACTAAGAACTGGACTCCTAGTTGTGCGAAAAAGTCAAGTTTCTCTGATTGTTTGGAATGTACAACGGATATAGCAAAACTGTTAGCGACAAAAAGGTATCACATGATTGTTGGTGATGAGAAGGAAGGCTCGGAAATGAAATCAGTAGGGGCACAGCATCAGGAAGAACGCAGAGTGGAGTCAGGAGAGGAATTGCACACAAAACATGTTGTCGCCGATCAGGTCTGTTTACTATGTTTTTACTCTGAAACCCGACTTTTTATGAATGATCTCAAACGAATTCACACATTTAATGCTCATTTCATTGTTTTGACATAAGGAGATAGATCGACATCTTCTGTGTAAATGAAGATGCATCAACACATGTATCCTATACATATTGATATCTCGTCCTATTTCAAAATGCCAGGTTTCCGTGTACGAGGATCCGGCCACTAAGTTTCCAGATAGATCCGAGCCTTTAAGCGAAGTTCATGAAGGAGATAATCTAAGCACAAAGTCCAAAATGGCTATCAACGCCACCGTACTTCCTATTGCCGTTGAAAAACAGGCTGATGAACTCCTAAAGAACATGATAATTAAAGGTGAGGATGCTTATGGTGCACATATCGAGAAAGGATCCACGATAACCGCAGATGTGTGGGATTTTG